TCCAAGAAACCCTGACATTAAAAATTCATTTTTTTTTTTTTTTGCTTCTGTTTTACTCCTGTGTTGAAATTATTTCTAACTTTTAGAATTCGGAAAATAGTAAACCATATGATCGACTGAATTTAATCTTGAGGGTCTTTTGTCTTTTTTTTTTTTTTAGCGGTAATTTTTTTTTTACCGCATATAGCACTCTATTTGATTATTTTTTTTTTTTTTTTGGTAGCAAGTTTAGAATTCGCGTTATTAAATGTGTTTTAATATTTTTTTTTTTTTTAAAAAACCTTTAAAAAATTTGAAAAAGAATGGTGGTATGATTGAAAGAAACACCTGAACAGAAAATGACTAAACTGATCAAGAGGCTTAAAAAACGAATACACCGTTTGCTCAAAACTCGCATTATTAATTTAAATTAAAAAAGAAACCGCAAATGATTTAAGTAATAGCTGTTAAATTTCCGGTTATCTAGACATATATTATTATAATTATTATTACTTTTTTTTTTTTTTAAGTTAACAGCATATTTGATTATTTTCACAGATTACCGTGGAAGTTTTTACCTTTTCATAAAGTAAAGCCCTTCGCTCCGACGAAGGGCTAAAGCTCGAAACTTTTTTTTTTTTTTTCGTAACGGTGGCCAATTTACCATTTCAACTTTGTTGATATATTTTTTTTTTTTTTTTACCCCCACCGACGCAGCCTCAAACAGTTTCTTTAGAAACTATCATTTTTTTTTTTTTTTTTCGATGTCGACTTTTAATATTTCGGCCGTAAATGACCAGCCGTTCAACGTAGCTTGTCGACACAGTTTTATTGACAGGTTTAAAATTGGCTGTATTCATTTCTGAAACTTAACGAGACTCGGACCACTTTATACTATACCTTCAAAAAAATTTCAAAGTTTTTTTTTTTTTTTTATCTAAACTGGTTCACGTCTTGCGATATGAAGTTAGGCGTAATTTTTTTTTTTTTTTAAGAATTAGACTGCTGAACTTTAGCGTTCTTCTTTGTTAACTGTTTTTTTTTTTTTTCTATACTCGAGGGTAATTGTCGTGTTTTTTTTTTACCATTACACCTCATTCTAGTTGTCTTTCGTGTCTCATGTCTACTTGAATAGGGAAGATTGGTCGATGTTTTTTTTTTTTTTTGGACTTGAATCTAACACGAGCTGGTGAATGATGATACTTTTAATTTTTTTTTTTTTTAAGCTATGGAGATTTGGAAAAGTATGGTCTGTGTAGTCCATTTGTTTTTTTTTTTTTTTATTCTCTAAAAACCTCCTTAGATGCGCATGAACTTGGGTGGCAGGAAATCTGTGTGCCCCTCTAAGCGGGTTTGACTTTTCTGTTCAGCTGTGTTAGATCAGTAACGAGTTTGATTTTCAATTCGAAATAGTGATGAGATTTGTATAAGTACAAAACCTAGTGATGCACTCTCGCTTAGCTGGATTTGCAGTCTGAAAAATTATTTAGCTCCTAAATTTTTTTTTTTTTTTAAACTTACGTTCAAGCCTTCTCGATGCAAATGAACTTATGCATATTTTTTTTTTTTTTGACGGTAAAAACGAAAATTATAGTTCAAATGATGTCTTACTTTTCAAAATTTAGATGCAATAATTGGCATGTTACATTTTTACCAATCGAGAAAAAGAACCAAGATCAGTCAAGAAGAATTTGCATGACTGCTCCCTAGTCTTCTGTTGTCGGTTTTTTAGAAGCGCAAGGGGTATGGATACTAGTCAGATTAGGTTGCGCACTTCTTCCTAAAGTGCTTTTATGCATAGAAGTGAGGCTGGCTTCAGTAAAAGAATTAACAAAGAGACGAAAAAGTTTTTTTTTTTTTTCAGGTACTCAAAATAAATCAGCAGGTCTTTTCTCGCCTGCGGGTTTTTTTTTTTTTTTCAAACAGTTAACTTGAGATTATACTAAAACTTCTCTGCTTTAAAGTGAGGAAAGTTACCTTTAGGTGAAATCGTAAACAGCCAGGCAACTATTCGTTATGACCTTTCCCAAACTCTAGCTTGTGGTATTTGGGCTGGAAAGAGTGAGAAATTTGATATTTCCTCATCGGCCATGACTTTTGCCTCAGAATCGTAACTCAAGCAGATCGATACTTGCGCAGACGAAGTTGTTTAGAGAGGAGGGACTGTAAGGCTATCAATGGTTACTTGAATCATGGAAAAATAGGATAAAGGGAATTGAAACGTCTAATGTCCGTATTGATTTGGAGATATTGTTTTTTTTTTTTTTTGTCACTTGTTAAATCTTGTTGACTATGGTGATAACATAGTCTGTTTTTTTTTTTTTTTGACAAAGAAGAGTATTGTGGTGTTGAGCCAGGAGCTTTTGCTTTTTTTTTTTTTTTTAGCGTGAACATCACCCAAAACACTTTCCCTTAAGTTATCAAATTACTTAAATTTGTGATGGGGTGTAACTTAACTTCCTCTCTCACAGCGGTTTTGCTCTACAGTAAACATTAGACTCTTTATGATGTCATGTAGTGAGTCTTTGAGCCTTTCGCTTAACATACTGGCAACAAGTGCTGCGGTTACAAACTTTGAGTTGGGCTGTGGTTTCAAACAATTATGGAGCGGGATGTATTTCTATTCGTTAGTGCTTGTTTAAGTTCAATGAATGTTTTTCTTTTGTATTTCAGCCATAAACCTTACGTGTCCTCCTAAAAAATCAACCGGTCAAGACAAAACAGTTAACGTGTGATTGATCATTGTTTAGAGTACGGTTTTGCCAATGAACGTTTTTTTTTTTTTTTTTAAAAAATAGCACTAACTTCTGAATACTAACCTGAAATTTGTAGGTTTTTTTTTTTTTTTTTTTTGAAGCAGTATTTTTTCTTCACTATGACTGATTTCCACGTTTTTTTTTTTTTTTAGCTGTTTTGTCTCAGCTTATTGTTTAACTCAAGCTACGATTGTTTTTTTTTTTTTTTCGGTTCCACTTAGAGAAAAATAATTAATTATGATTTTGAAAGGTTTTTTTTTTTTTTCAATGTAAAAGCGTTTGGTGCTCGTATTCTATTGGAAAAGAAAATTTCACTTCGTTGATAAACTGAAAAAGGAAGAGTTGAATCCCAACTTGCCGCGAAAATCCCAACTTGCCGGAAAAGTAAACTGCAACGATTGCAGATAAATATCTTGCCAATGAACTTTTTTTTTTTTTTATTAATTATTTAATTTCACAGACTTAAACGAATAGTAGTTATTTGAACCACGTGATAGCAGGTTTGTTTACGGCCCAGCCATAGATGATATGTTTGTATCTGACTTAAAAGATTCCTACTGGGTCCCACTGGCTCTCATTCCGGAGCGCATTTCATTGTGCTTCCCTTTTGGTTAAAGGTGCTCATAAGACAAAGTGTTGATGAATATTATCGTAAATTTTTTTTTTTTTTTTTTTTTCTCCTCATTATTTTGAGCTTGCAAGACGTCTGTAGATTTTTTTTTTTTTTTTTGGAGCCACAGCTTGTCACTGCCCGAGGGCGTGTGTCTACATATTTTTTTTTTTTTTTAATTCATTACCTCAGACAAATCGTAGGTGAATGTATTTGCCTTATTTTTTTTTTTTTTTTGTCTCACCAAATCGCCAACAAATTAGGTATAACGACCTTCCTTGAGCGTGGCAGTCTTCGCATGAGAAATTAAGATCGTTAATTTTAAATTTAGACTTCAAGAAGTCATGCACAACAACATTTTTTCTTTTGCTTAAGTAATATAGTAATGTTTATGGTTTTTTTTTTTTTTCAGAATTATTCATCAAAAGAAATCTGCCCTGGTTAAAAACGTGGTTTTTTTTTTTTTTTTGTGAGGCTTCTGTGTTACCTTCTTTCTTTCTCTTTTTTTAATTTTTTTTTTTTTTTGACGATTTCGGGAAAACAGGAAGACCTTGCTTCGGGAAAATTAATTCTGTACCTAAAAAGGATACTATTATGGTTGATTTGCTATCATCCTCAATTATTTCATTTTTTTTTTTTTTCAGTCTTTGGTAATCGGGAAAGTATGTCATAACTTAATTTGGAGTTTTTTTTTTTTTTGAAAATAGTCTCTGAAATGAGCCAACCATGAAGACGCGAATAATTTTTTTTTTTTTTTTTAAAAACAATCGATAAGTTGCTCTAGTTTTTGGGAAATTGTCATTTTTTTTTTTTTTGTGCACAACCTTGAGATGTTTGCGCCTGAGAAAAGGTCTTGTTCTTTTTTTTTTTTTTAACTTTTATTAAATGTATGTGTTTGCAATTGCCATCTTATTTACTTTTTTTTTTTTTTCAAACGAGCTTTGTGCAAATGATAATTTAGTGTTCCAATTTCATTTTTTTTTTTTTTTCTACAATTATTATAACTAAGTGATCTGAAAAGCTTCAATTGTTATTTTTTTTTTTTTTGGTATCTGGTATTTGCTGCTGGAGTAAAGTTATGTATTCAAATATTTTTTTTTTTTTTTAGATTACATATACGGAACGAAATGTGCTTAAATCCCGTCAGAACAACATATATTTTTTGGGGGATAGAGAGACTCAATGGTATATTACACAATAATGTAGAATTCATAATTCAGAACAATAGCATTGTTTTACAATCCAATGAGTTTTACAATATTTTCTCTGAGTTAAGTTTCCATGTATATAATATTGATGTTGGTGCTACATGATGATGAAAAATTTTTTTTTTTTTTTGATGCTATTGCTTTATATTGAGTGTAACTATGTTTATGTTTATTTTTTTTTTTTTTTCAAAGGGATAATTATGATACCATGGTGGTGCGTTTGTAATCTGAGACCTTGACATTCTAGTTTGTCGTTGTCTTTGGTAGGAATAAGCTGAAGAAGGATGGGTCAGTTTTCTCTGTTGTCACATTAGTGCTTATGAGCGTAAGCTACTGTTCTTAAGTGTTTTTTTTTTTTTTTTTTACATGCGCTAAATTGAATCTAATTGACAGTTACCAGCGCAGTTTTTTTTTTTTTTTCCCTCTATCCTTTTAAACAATGGACTACTAATTAAAAGTATTAGTTACAGTCCACTTTCGATTGTTAATTGGACCGAAAGGGGATACATCGGTGAAATGCCTGAGAGTGTATGTCGGAAATGGTTGGCGACACGACTCAGGCGGGCAAGACACTGAATGAATAGGTGTTGGAATCATGTTACATGTGGGAAGGATTTCTTGAACCGGCGGAAGAAGTGAAGACACGCTTGGAAGGTTGTGGGCGTGCTCATACAGTTGATCAGCTACCTCCACATTTTTTTTTTTTTTTGACGATACTGATAGACTTGGACCTCTTGGACTTTGAAATATAGGAAAGTGAGACTGTGATGAAGTTTCAATCCACTGAATTCTCGAGTTATCTGGTTTAAGGAATGAAGGAATGCTTGGTTTGGTAAATATCTTCACTCCAGACTTTTCATGTTTTCGATTTTTTTTTTTTTTTTTTTTGAACCATACCTGTAAGAAAGGAAGAAAGTCATTATGGGACAACAGCAGCAATATTTTGTTTGAAATTAAATTAATCATTTTTGTTCAGTTTTAAAATTTTTTTTTTTTTTTTCTGGTGTAAAATGTTTCCCTCGAATTTAAATGTAATACCCAAATTTTTTTTTTTTTTTTTTTTTTTTTTTTTTTGTAGACAAAGGACGGCTTGCTTTGATGTTTTTTTTTTTTTTGCTTTGATGGAACTTAATGATGCAATTTTCACCCAATGATTCAATTTTTTTTTTTTTTTTACTTTTACAAGTAAACATTCTGCAACAAAACATCTACTATACTTTTTTTTTTTTTTACCTTTTAATTTATCTTAAAATCACCACGTTTAGGTATGTTCAATTTTTTTTTTTTTTTTAGTACTTGGCTGTAGTTTGCCTTCTTTGTCAGCTTGAAGCAGTTTTTTTTTTTTTTTTTAAATAAATAAGCTTTGTTATCATTTAAGGTTTGTCCGATTATTTTTTTTTTTTTTGATCACCTGTATTCTTGATTCTGGGAGATTTGTAAAATTAGCCAGCTGCTCCCGTAAGAGTACATCTGGGTAATGTGTTCTCGCAAACGTTTGTTCCAGTACTTGGAGTTGTCTTGGTGTGAAACAAGTTCGCATTCGTCTTGGCTTGCGTTTTCCCTTATCCTCTTGGTTGTCCAAAATTACTTCTGTAAAGATCACAAAAAGTTACAATTACAATAATGAGGATAGGAAGGCTCTGAGTAAGTTGTCCTTTTTCGGAAGGAATGATCTAATGAATTTTTTTTTTTTTTTGTTTCTCGGCTTTGTAATCGTTCAGTGGTGAGCCGTCTATATATTTTTTTTTTTTTTTAATAATTTTGGCAGGACGATATCAGAGTCACCGGAAACCGTTTTCACAAATCTTGTCGGGGTAATTTCAAGCGATCGCCCGGCATAACTATGATGTTTCCAGCTTTGATTTCTTAGCTGAGTCGAATTCCACCCGAGACCCGCAACTAATGCAATTAATTTTTTTTTTTTTTTTGAGTAAACGTAGGAAGTGTTGTTTATTATTGGAATCCACAGGTAAACACCCTTACTATCCGCTAAGTATACCTTATATGCTATGTAGTGCCTGGATTTGGCTTTTTTTTTTTTTTTATGTCAGGAATCTCCTTAAGACCGTTTTCATTGGCATCTTTCCCTCATTCTTTTGCGTATCGTTTGCATGAAAAATGAGAGCGTTTTGAATAGAAAGACAGTTTTTTTTTTTTTTGAACTATTTGTGCTTTTTTTGTTTTTGGAACGTATTTTTTCGGTTTTTTTTTTTTTTTATAAAAATGTGTGTAGTTACGAACATAGGAGGAATTTATGTGGAATGCCATCAACTCGGGTTTTCAGACAGACCTATTATCGCACTAATTCTGTTTTAGGGTTTTTTTTTTTTTTTTTTGATGTTAGTCAGCTGAGGAGATAGGCGGCCTCATGATTCTTTTTAAAGCACGTGGTCGTGACCCAGTCATTGGTGTCATTTCCGCTGAGGATGCTTCCTTTTTTTTTTTTTTTTCATTCTGCAAAGGCACACTATTAGGGCACGTACAAATGTTGTCTTTTTTTTTTTTTTGCCTTAACTGTTAAGATAACCGTGATACCGAAAGGCAGCTGTCGCTTAGTTTGACAAATTGTTCTTCGTGTAGCATTTGTTGAAATATAGCAGCCACCTTCATTTTTTTTTTTTTTTTTAGTCATTTCACCGCGGTTTTAAAGTAACTTATACTGAACAATTTTTTTTTTTTTTTCAGAAAATTTAGAGAGCTTGATCGAAAAAAGTGGGTGTTCTCCATATCTCTGATCGACATAGCAACTGTGAATTTAGTTTTCAAAAGCTTTCCTGCAAACATTTTTTTTTTTTTTGCTTGTGTAAATCCTTAACTTACAGAATTCCATTGATTTAAAGTTTTTTTTTTTTTTTTAAACAGTACTAATTGACAAGCAAGTGCATGCAGTTGTTTTTCTTTTTTTTTTTTTTTGAAGTGAAGTGCGACTTACATCATTTAACATTCTCTTAACAAAGTTTTTTTTTTTTTTGTGTTTACTACATCATCTATGAAAAAATTTTGAAACTTCAAGTATTTTTTTTTTTTTTTTTTAAGATGCCTGCTTGGTTTTGGTTCCCATACACAACCTTGTTATTTTGCATTCTTTCCTAAAAAACAACACCTTCGTAATCGAGATTTGCATGATGGTATTTTTTTTTTTTTTGAGCAATCAAGGGTTAGCTTAAATACCAAGACCCTCGTAGAGTGTTTTTTTTTTTTTTTACCGTTCTGATGGACTTGAAAGTGTTCTCTCTCTTCTACCAAATGCCAAGTGACCTCTATGCACGACTAAGTACTGCGGCTTTCCATTAGGCATTTACCGACCTAATACTATCCGATAAATGACACGTGGGGGTAAACAACTTTCGTGAGATGAGTGACGATGATCAGTGGACAGGCTGGGTCCATTGAGCCCAAAGACATTTTGCGTGTATTTGCATTTTTTTTTTTTTTTTTCCTTACAGTAAGGAGTCCAAAACTTACCACAAATATGCCGCTTTTTTTTTTTTTTAATAGTTCAATAGCAAATTCATGTATAGCACACCTTCCGATGAATTTTTTTTTTTTTTATCGAAATGCATTGCTGCAATCGAATTTTCCGTAGGATCCGCTTTTGGTAGCAGCTACATGTGGTGCTTCGATGTCGTGTACTCTTCTTATGTTGGATCCAATTAAGGAAAGCTTCTGAAAGCTATACATCTTCGCAAGCTGTAGCTTGACCATTTTTTATTTTTTTTTTTTTTTTGATTTATGATTTCTGTAAAATTCTCAAACATAGAAAAAATGATTTTTTTTTTTTTTGAACAGATAGCGAGATAAACATTTTAATGTTTTCAGTGAGAAGCTTTTTTTTTTTTTTTCCCAGAATTAGACGTATTTCGGTTGGTCTTTATAGTTCCATACTTTTTTTTTTTTTTAGAGAGATGTCAGTGAGAGTCGAGCTTGGGATTTCATTTAGCTTTTTTTTTTTTTTTTTTTTACTTTCATGTAGTGTGTATTGCTTAGTGGAAAGGTCACACTTTTTTTTTTTTTTCAATGATTAACATTGTGACCTGTAAAGTAGACGTCGTTTTGCAATAAAGTAATGCGAATTAATATGAACAGATGTTGGTGAAATTAACATGGCGTTGCCGCCTTTTTTTTTTTTTTCTGAAACATTTCTTCGACTCGGCTTATCACAGGAAATATGTATATTTTTTTTTTTTTTAACTGCTAACGCAACTCCCTTTTGAATAACGCTACCAAAATTAATTTTTTTTTTTTTTTACCTTTGTGAGTAAACAAAGCACCCGAGTATGTCATCGCAGATTTTTTTTTTTTTTTTTTTGGAGCCGTAGTCGACAGCTAGCGAGGAATGCCAAATCGCAAATGCGACCTAATAAGCTCTTGAAAACACACAAATCAAGAGAACAAGTTTGCAACTTATTTTTTTTTTTTTTACCAATCGACGAGAGAAGCAAGTTTTCTTACTGTGACAGAAAACTTTTTTTTTTTTTTGGAGTTAGACAGGGCGTGGATTCACGTCCGCCATGAGAAGCGAATTTTTTTTTTTTTTCATTTCTATGGTGATGCAACGAAAAATATCGGTATTAGGCTTCCTTTTTTTTTTTTTTAGCGAGAGAAAAAGCCCAGAGATTTACGGTTTATTTTATGCGTTTTTTTTTTTTTTTTTTCCATCAAACTCGTTATCTCTTCAGTAATGCGCGTGGGATGGACTCGATAGAACCGAGTCGTAATCATTATACTTGCTTAGCCAAAGGTCGATTTAAATTGTAAAACACAACTCAAGAAACTGCAAAGGCAGCACAGTAACGCTAATCTCATACTCGTGTTTTTTTTTTTTTTTGCGTGATCCATAAAACGTTATGTGGTTAGTGGCAGAAGTCATGTTTTTTTTTTTTTTAAACATAATGGTGATTTCTTCTGTGAAGTTGGAAGTGGAAGTTCTCCTAAGCGGACACCCTTAGGACGCAAAAAAGGTGTCCTAACTAGACGTGTAAGCGACAGATGGCCGCTTGTGGCAGCATCAACATAGGATGTGTACGAGAGCAAACCAAACACATAAACACGGCTCTGTAATTAATCATTGCACTGTTGAATCACTGTGACGAACAGGGATGTGAAGTTGATCGATTAAAGTAAGACCTAGAGGCTAATGGAATTCCTTTCGGGTGTCCGCTTACGGGAGCTTAAATACAAAGGAATCGTCTAAGTCGTTACTTATAAAAGTGCTTGCTTTTTTTTTTTTTTTCATTGACTCACGGAAATCTGTAACCGGTGGGTTTATTTGGAGTTTGCACAACCTTGTGAGGGGAGTCGAAAGTAGAGCTGTCTGTTTACCAGAATGTTCGCTTTTTTTTTTTTTTTTGAACTTACAAAAAATAATGGCTTTGGGCGATTGATTTTGCCAATTTTTTTTTTTTTTGATTTGCTAAACCAACACCGCAGCATGCACTTAAAGTTTGTGAATTTTTTTTTTTTTTATTAACAGTTTATTAGAGCAATAAGGTTGGAGTAAATTTAGCAATTTTTTTTTTTTTTTGATTCCAATAAACAACAACAGCTGTTGTCACCTTGTTTCCACCAACAATTATTTAAGAGAATATTATCTATTTGTACCAAAACTACGATGAACACTTGTTTTTTTTTTTTTTTTTAAGAAATTTCTCGCGAGAATTCTTTCCAACAAACAGAAGGCGTATTTTTTTTTTTTTTTAAATTAAATTAACTTGCGCTCAATAACTCATTTCCGTAACGCATTTTTTTTTTTTTTATGTAAAATAAATCATATTTCCCATGTAATATAATGAAGCGAAACTCTCATCCGAAGATTGCATGAAACGATGAATAGAAAGAAAGTACAAGTCCATTCTCTAATGGAGGACATGATGAATTGATACATCCAAACAGTGCGATCTCAAGGTGTCATATGTTTTTTTTTTTTTTTCATGTATGTAAAGCCGTAGTTATTTATCCAAGTTTACCACACGTTTTTTTTTTTTTTTATGCTGTTTTAACTCAAAGTTTTAGCGAAGCATTTGGCTACAGTGTGCAAGAGCTGAGCTTTGAGCGGGGCGACGCTGTTGGAAACTAATTTAGGTTGTAACACTTATCGGGTTATTATTAGGTTCTAAACTAACAATCAACACACCACAAAATGTTTTATTTTTTTTTTTTTTTGCTATTTACAGCCGATATTCTCGTGTAAATGTAAATCTAGTTTTTTGGCTTGTTAATGTTGGTTAACAAATGCCTAAACGTCACAGAGAAGTGACATAACAGCAATTAGGAATACGGAGACCGTTCTAATTGAGTTGATGAATTTAGCTTTCTACATTCACAGCGGAAATGTACGGTGCATGCAACAAAATGTAAGTTTTACGCTGAAAGGTGACATTTTTTTTTTTTTTTAAGAGAGAAAACGTACCTTTAGTAAATGTTAATGCATGGTTCTATTTTTTTTTTTTTTCTTTTCCTTAAAATGAGCCACATGGTACGGTAAACGGTAAGAACTTTTTTTTTTTTTTTCGTGTCATTACGTGCCTGTCACCAGTACTTCGCAAAAACATTGTTTTTTTTTTTTTTCGTGAATTTCTTTAAAAGGAAGGATTAGACCAGGGTCGATTGAATTTTTTTTTTTTTTGGTAACAATAAAAAGACACTCGAGAGGAGAAGAATGTTTCTGGGTTTTTTTTTTTTTTCGCCTACATGACAACAAACCCAGCATTGTCGTCGCATTTGCGCAACTTTTTTTTTAACAAAGCGCAGGTCAATAAAATGACCTCGTCGTGTTCGAAAACTAATTTTTTTTTTTTTTATATCGTAAAAGCTAAGGGAAAAAAAAGAGAACTACGGAAGGGAACAAACCTGCCAGTCGGTCAGCTAACGACATTTGTGCCGGGATGATAGGCCTATCTGTTTTTTTTTTTTTTTTACCTTTATATACCAGGTGACCTGGTGTAGAAGAACAGCCCTCGTTTTTTTTTTTTTTAGTAATATTAAATGGTGAATATTTCGTTTCCATGCCAGGTGACAACGAAATTAAGAAGAGAAACCCTGGAGGAAGGATCAAGAACCGCAAATCAGACTGTACTTTTTTTTTTTTTTACTGCACCAGACTGGAATCCTTTTATCTTCCGAAAATGGGAGGGTTTTTTTTTTTTTTAGGAAGTAAGTGCAATCGACCTCCGTACACAATCATGTCGCGTCTTATACACACTTACGATCACAAGTGATTCATTATTACTTTCGCAAATCTTTTCAAGCTTTTTTTTTTTTTTTGTTTTCTTTACATGATAAAAGATAATAAATGCCTAAATTCTAAATTTTTTTTTTTTTTTGTCAATGTCTTATGTTTGTCAACCCCTATAATGGGTACATCTTTTCCCTTTAGTATTGCCAAACTCATTGGGATATTTTTAGCTACGACAGAAAGTTTGTATTTTTTTTTTTTTTCCGCCTTCATTCCGAACTCTTGGCTCGAATTCAACGCCGTAATTTTTTTTTTTTTTTTACAACCGTAATTTTCCCCATTGAAGTATATAAATCACAAAATTTTTTTTTTTTTTTTTGGAAGCACAGTTCGTCTTAAGTCGCACATTTTCTTTTTAAGGATTTTTTTTTTTTTTTGAAGAGGAATTTCAGTGATTACGTTTGGCAATTCGGCATAAAGTTTTTTTTTTTTTTTTCGTATAAACACAATGGTGTCAGTGATTGATGGTAAGTTAATTTTTTTTTTTTTTTTTCCACCTAAAGGTGATGAGTTGTTTTGTTCATCCTTTCAAAAAGCTTTTTTTTTTTTTTACGTGCTTGCTTTCGTTGGATTAAGTGGGTAGCACCGAAGTTAGTTTTTTTTTTTTTTTGGAAACGATCATGGATGATGCATGAACCATGTTGTACCTACTGTTTTTTTTTTTTTTACAATCTGAAAGCCTTTGTTGTCCGTGTCCACGTCTTGATTGCTTTTTTTTTTTTTTTGGTTTAGCTCACTCTCTTAATATTTGTAGGTCACTAAAAATGTGTATTTAACTCTATTGAGTTGACCTTTTTCCGACTATACCCGATTATACTTGCCGCATCAGTAGGTAGGGTTAAGTGCTTTGCATTTAACCTATATTCCATGCGGGCTCCTTAATTTATGGGAGCCCATGCCAAACTGTGCATCTCAGTTTAATTTAGGATGATTTATGTTCTCGTTTTTTTTTTTTTTCTTGTTCGTCCAAAAGCCAACCGTAATTTTGACAGTGACAGTTATTTTTTTTTTTTTTCTGTCACTAACGAAGGGCTAGACTTTCCGTAAGTTTTTCCTTTGTTTTTTTTTTTTTTTTTGCGGTTTAAAAACGCACGAACTCCAAAATTCAAAATAGGATTTTTTTTTTTTTTTTTTAATACCAAAGCCTTGTAACAACTTTGAATCCTCCTTGAGATTTTTTTTTTTTTTTTTAGCAGTAATCTTAAATAAATTCTGAATGATCAAGTGACATTTCCCAGCGTTCAGAGGGAGTCTCAGAAGACATCCTCGCTATTACACCTATGATAGGTGTCAAAGCGAGTTATATTATGTGACAAGAGAAAAGAGACCCTATATTACCATATATAATGGTCATGGAATGTGATTTCCTTCTGCTTTTTGAATCTTTTTTTAAGTCCCTTTAAGCTAAAGTAATTGACTATGTTGAAACGTAAATGTCAACTAAGATTAAGAAAAAATCTTTTTGTTTTTTTTTTTTTTCAAAATTCTCACTAATCCTTTTCATCATCACGAATTTTTGCCGGTTTTTTTTTTTTTTATCACAGATTAAACGGATGAGGCAATTATGTACATGTCACAGGCGTCTGTCAAAGGGCTAAAATTTGCGTCCTTTCCTCAAGTTAATCAAGGTGCAAGTAAATTTTTTTTTTTTTTCTTAAAAATGTCAGTTTATTTTGTAATCTCAAACTACTATCAATTTTTTTTTTTTTTTTTCTTTTCAAATTCACTGCTGTTGACTACCACCGCGTTGTGGTGTTTTTTTTTTTTTTCCAGGTTTTTGTGGCAGGAAGTGATAAAATATATGAAATTTTGTTTTTTTTTTTTTTTTACGTGATAAATACTTATTTTAAGCTGATCATAGAATATGCATATTTTTTTTTTTTTTATGCATTTAAAATAGCTTTGCCCTTTGGTAATACTCACAAGAACTTTTTTTTTTTTTTTCAAAGAAGACCTTTCCGTAGAGGATAACAGTTTCTTTGTCTACTTTCGCCTTTGTTTACTGATTGGGAGGGGGCAATATTTATCGCCATGCAATAACTTTATTTTTTTTTTTTTTTCTGAACAGTATGAACTGATACTATTCATTCAAGATAATCAATGTTTTTTTTTTTTTTTAATTTTACATGAGGAATTAGAGATCACAGCTGCGACCATGTGATTTTTTTTTTTTTTCCAACTGCATAATTATTGAAAACGGGAATCATAACAAACGTAACTTTTTTTTTTTTTTACTTTTTATTTAATAAAGCTCTGCAACATTCTATCCATTGTTAGTTTTTTTTTTTTTTACTGATTAACTGGTTTTTTTTTTTTAACAAGTGTTCATACACTGTTTTTTTTTTTTTTATTACGGAAAATATAGATCTCGTGACTCGAGCTTGGATAATCTTGGATGACAGGTATCGTGATGTTTCTAGATCAGGTTAATGCTCAGCATGCAATTTAACCTGGAAGCCCACCCTCACTTTCAAGTGTATTCATCTCAGCTAAGTTGAAAGACGCACTGCTTGCTGGCACAGTCTTCTAACCAGAACTGGTGTCAGAAACAGTGTTTTCCACCTTAAGACGTTTAAGTATGTAAGCGTGGGCGCCTTTCAAAGAGCAGTATTATCACATACCGGTTTTCTTTTAACTTCAGCTACTTGGACACTTTCTTGTTCGAAGAAACTGTCGTTTGATGAATTGCGGAAATAAGGCTGTTTTACTGGCGTACGTGTTGTATGGAAATTTGGTTGGTTTTTTTTTTTTTTTTACAGCAGTAAGGAAGTTTCCAGCGTCTTATTACTGCTCCATTGAAGAGATCAGATGTCGACTTTTGATTCAACACAGCATGAGTACTTATAATTAGAGTGTATTTTTTTTTTTTTTTTTTTTTCTATTTGTAGTAATTCCAAACTTGCACATCTGCCCACGAGCTGTTTGTACCGCAGAAAACAAAGTCCACTCGCAATAAATGCCAAGTGAACTTAACTGCTTGTAAACAGCATGGCTGAGTGACGTAGAAAAATATTTCACAGTCCGCAAAATAATCAAAACAAAAAATGGTCTAAGCGGTAGGCAAATGAGATCCGTTACTGTAGCAGATATTTTTTTTTTTTTTAGAACAGTGGTACAATTTCTGCAAGAGTACTATGCCAAGGTGTCTTTTTTTTTTTTTTCGAATTCATCTCTGTGTTTCGTTTTATTTGCTGTCTTTTAGGCCTTTTTTTTTTTTTTGTATGGATGCCAACTTTTAATTTTCTTAACATATGGATACCCAGTTTTTTTTTTTTTTCATGATACTGACGGGTCCCTCGGACGACATATCATTGTGTTTTTTTTTTTTTTTTTTTAAAGGTAAGATTTTGGATTTCTCTCAAGCTTTCCCTCCCTCTCTTTTTTTTTTTTTTTGATTATCACTTACAATGAATATATGAAGTTCATATTTTGAACTGTTTTTTTTTTTTTTTATGATGCACGATCCTCGCAGTAGATAGCGCTATTTAAGCAATATTTTTTTTTTTTTTTGAAAAAAATCAGGCCTGTACGGCTTGTTAGCTCAATTGGTAGATTTTTTTTTTTTTTTCGCAGAGGTCAGTGGCTCGAATCCCGTACAGGCCTGATTTTTTTTTTTTTTTTTTTTCGCTATTGCATAAATAGCGCTCTCCACTGCGAGGATCGTGCATCTTTTTTTTTTTTTTCCGCAGTTCAAAATATATGAACTTCATATATTTCATTGTATCTCTTTTTTTTTTTTTTCGGGTTTATTACGAATCAACTTAACGGCCTGTTCCCAGTTGGCTTTTTTTTTTTTTTTGTAGAGCGCTGCACTAGTATCGCAGAGGTCAGTGGTTTGAATCGTTTTTTTTTTTTTTTTTTCAGAAGCTAGGGCTGATCAAGTAAGCAAAGTTGCCATTTCGTACGTCTAGCCTGAGTCTGTAATATTCTTAATCCCGTATAGGCCTGATTTTTTTTTTTTTTTTTTTTTTTTTCGCTATTGCATAAATAGCGCTATCTACTGCGAAGGATCGTGCATTTTTTTTTTTTTTATCACTGCTCGCCCAACTTGCTTCCTCGAACTGCTGTATACTACTTGTTCCTCTATATATTTTCAATTCATTAGCCAGGACTTTGAGACAAAAAAAATCAAGTTTTTTTTTTTTTTTTTTCCAGCAATTGAAAGGGTACCGAAACCGTCCCTCTTCTTTTTTTTTTTTTTTTTTCCACTGCTCATCTAGACTGCTTCCTAGACGTCGTTCGGTCTCCCTTTTTTTTTTTTTTGAGGGTTAGGAGGGTGAGCTTGGGGCCGGGGTCGAGGAGTTAAGTTTTTTTTTTTTTTGACACGTTCACGAAAGTCTGTTCGTTTAACTTTGAGTTATTGCGTTTTTTTTTTTTTTTCACAGTTTTGACAAGCAGATAAACTTTAAGAAAGACAAACTGATTTTTTTTTTTTTTTATGAAAAGGAATACTTTGGACTCTCTTCTTCTTCTACTCTTTCTTTTTTTTTTTTTTTTCTACTTTTATCATACAAGACGCAGCTGCAAGCAATGAATGTTTTTTTTTTTTTTTTCAAATTGTTCATTCTAATTATCAATTTTGTCCACGGTATCATTTTTTTTTTTTTTTTTGTCATTCACGTAATGAGACTATGTTAGCCTAATTTTCCACAACTTTTTTTTTTTTTTTACT